CGGCCAGCTTTGGTGGTTTCCTCCTTGGTGATTCCTTGATTAGAGTATTGGCTGCCGGAGGGGATGTGTTCCAGTCTTTTTAAGGTAGTCAGCGTTTAGATAGGCGAGGATTAACACCAGACAAACGATCAGACAGAAAACAAGACTCTAATCAAGGGACCACCAAGGAGGAAACCAAACCTCCACCAAAACTGGCAGGGCAAGCTACTGAATATAAACAGGCAGCAAATCCCACCCTCACTAGCTCTGATGATGTTACCTAGTCGGGTAATGAAACGTCTGCAAGCAAATAACCAAGCTCAGAGAGCACCAAGGACTTTACAGTTCAGCCCTCAGAAACAGAGATTCTCTTCTATTAGGTCCTCCTTTTCCTAATCAATCCCCCTCCATTTTTATTAATTCGACCCCCTTTGATCTGACCCATTTCCGTGAGTTTTGTGAGTCAGCCCCAGCTATGAACAGAGAGGCTCCAAGCCCTCATCTTTCCTATGGTGGCCCCCACCTCGGGCCCTGTCCTGACTCCAGAAAGTAACACCGCCTTTGAGAGAAACCGGATTAGACCTGTGTAAACCCCTTACCCGCCTCTGCCCCTTGTATTTTCCAGCCATGAGTGCCTCCCATTCCCTCCTGTGGGCAGTGGACATTTTGGGGAGAGTCTACACCTTAACCACGACCAGCCAGTACTGGGAGCTCTGCAAGGATGGCGAACTGGAATTCAAGCGAGTTTCGGCCGTCAAGCAGTGCTGCTGGGGGCTCGCTTGCGATCATCAAGTGTACGTTTACATACACTCCAGCGACGTCCCAATCCGATTTCAGGAGGAAACCTATGAGAATCAGGTAGACTCAAGGAAGGGAACTCCGGGGCCATCCGGCCCAGTGCAGGATCTGCTAAAGTGTTTCTGAGCGTCTGGCGGAAGACTTCCGACCAAGGAAAATTCCCATTTCATGTGGAAGCCTGTTCCTAGTCAGAAAGGAGCTCCTAAGGTCTAACCCAGTGTTTCTCAACCTTGGCAAATGTTAAATTTGGGTGAGTCTTTACCCCCCCCATATTCCTCCATAACACAGCACGGGGTGGGGATGTTGGGGGGGATATATACTACCCACAAAA